TAGTTCTAGCCTTTGGGTGATATTTTAAAATTTACCAATTAGAAAATTCATATTTTAAGTGGTCTCAAGTTCCAATTATTGTTTGAGTTTTCTTGATTTGAGCATTCGCAAGATTAAAATGGTTTGTCAAAAAAACCTAAACTGTCTAAGAAGAGATTGTGATTTAAGTGGACCGCTTATGACCCCCCTCCTCATCTGGGAGCCTTTTGGTTGCACGTTATTCAAATTACCAAAACCAAAAAAACAATAATTCAAACATTTCCAAATTAAAGAATATTCTATTTTCTAGAAATTTTTATTTCAAGAAAATCCTATTTTTGAAAAAAAAANAGAGAACAGTGTGTAGGCTTCACTAAGCATTCCCTGAAAAAAAAAAAGGGGGGGGGGGGGGGTTATTTTCATAAACTTTAAAAAAATGTAAAGTTTTAATCATACGATGTTATAAAGAATCATTGGCACGTGACGCTCACTATTCGACCACTCTTCAATTGTTCTCAGGTATGAAATGAAATATTTTTGTATGATTATGAGTCATATTGTTTCACATTATGAAATGTATAAGTATGCTAACCTTGCGTGACTTATTAGATGAATTTTTTTTTTTAAATATTGTTTATGCAATGAAATAAAATGTCACTCCAAAGATTTAGCATAATTGAAGTTATACTTGTTATATGATTAGGATTTGGAAAAACAACTAGTTTAACTGGGAATAGCCCAACATACTTGGAACGTGCTCAAATTGCTATCGAGAACTACATGAATTATGAAGTGAGATGGGAGCAAACCTTTGTGGAACATGTCGAAGATTTTCTTTTAAAGTGGGAGCAAGCAAAATTATTCGGATATAATGAGGGGACAATCCTATCATCTTATAAGCACTATGCGGCATCAATGGAGAGATGTGTGTTACTTCGTGAGAAATATGGATTGTGAGCTATATATGCCTAAAGATTGGGACAAGATTGATTTTAGGGGATACAGTAAGGATATCATACTCTTATGGAACCATAGATAGCAAAATCTTGTGACTAAACTTATACCTGACCCGAGCCAAAGCCTGAATTGGGCCCAGATGAGGACCTTGAGAAGGGCCCAGAGGAGGAGCCGAATTATAAACCTGAGTTAGAGCGGAGTATGTACCAAGACCAATGCCAGAGCTAAAGCAGGAACCTGAGCCAGGATTCGAATGGGACCTTGAGCCAGAGGTTGACTAGAGCCTGAGTCATGTATATCTCTGGATGATGAAGCCCCCATGTCTAAGCATCATAGGATTCAAAATGTTTGGACAAGTGAAGATGAAGACTAGCAACCTAGATATAGTTTAGTTTAAATAAAAAATTTCTTCCCTTCACAAAAAAAAAAAAAAAAATTGTAATCAGTACTTGAAATAATCAGTAGGTTTTTCTTTCATCGTCTAGGATTTAATTCTTTCAACCATCCCTCATGTATTTCGAATATTTTGAGCTTTTGTTGACTATTTCTAAAACAAAATTTATTTGGTTGATTTAAAGAAAATGGCCCGTCAACCAACACAAACTGCTATGTTTAGGGATTTGTTGAGAGCTGTGCAAGATCTTGGTAGGCAGCAAATGCAAGCTCCTCCTCAAAATGCACAGACTAACTCCAACACTACGAGCTCAGTCGTGCAACAATTTTGTCGTTACAAACCCCCTACCTTTTACAGGATGGCTGGCCCTTTGGCAGCCAAGGAATGGATAAGGGGTTTGGAACGGATCTTCAAGCATCTCTCCTGCACTGATTCCCAAAAGGTTTTATGTGCGGAGTTCATGCTAGTTGATGCAGCGAGCCACTGGTGGGAGTCCATTTCACGCACTAGGACTGAGGCACAACAACACAACCTCACTTGGGTACATTTCAAACAGGAGGTAATGGGAAAGTATTTCCACAATCCTTGAAAGATCGTAAGGAGACAGAGTTTCTGCAACTTAAGTAAGGAAAGATGGCATTGGTCGATTATGAAAGGGAATTCGAACAACTTTCTAGGTATGCAACATATCTAGTGGATACATAGCAAAAGAAAGCTCAAAAAGGTTTGAACTCGGACTACACCGAGAAAATGGAGGAATCATAACATCTCATGAATTCACCACATACAGTCAGGTTCTACAACGAGCTCAAGCAATTTCAAATCGACTAGAAATTGATCAGACAATTCACGAAAGTACTGAATTTTCAGGAAATAAGAAATGGAATGGGTTGAACGAAGATAAAGGAAATGGACAAAACAAAAAGGCTAGCTTTGAAAGGTGGTTAGGCTCAAGCAAGCCGAATAATGTTCTTACGGAAAGAATGTGTGTTATCGATATGGAAAGCATGGTAATATTACTACTAATTGTCATGAACCGCTACCAAAAAGGGACAACGAACAAAGCAAAAAAGGTACAGCTAGAGTCTTTTCCTTAACCCAATAGGAGGCAACTGAGAATTAGGACATGATGGTAGTTATTCTATCAATAATTGAACTACCTGTTTATGTCCTTAGATACTTAGGAATTACTCATTCCTTTGTTTCCACTATTTTTATTTTTTAGTTTTAAATCGCGTACTGTTTGCGAAGAAGCCATTACTGTTCTAGAAGTTACTATCCCATTAGGCAGTACTCTTATACCAATCAACTACTATGACAATCAAAATGAATGAAAAAGAATTTACAATCCACATGTACCTTTTAGGGATAATGGTTTTTTGATGCTATCTTAAGAGTGGATTGGTTGTGAATCATTTATGCGATGATACGATGCTTTGAAAAGGAGATAGTTTTCAAAAGTTTGGACCATGCACCCAAGACTCTTCACTCGATAAGATAATTTCGAGGATAAAATTATTGTAAGGGAGTGAGATTATAACACTCCAATAGTGTAGGCAGAAGATAAAAGGATTTGGGACGTGACTTTTGGATTTTGTCGTTCAACATTCATTTGAGGTAGGATAATATGTGCAAGTTGATCTGCCTTACAATATTTTAATTTTTTTTTTTTTACGTAATTTATTTCATGAAATGCTAATCGACATATGGGTCTTAATGAAATGAAATGTGAGATTTCCTTCAGATTTTCTCAATTGTTTGTACAGAAATGTGTTAGAGCATTCGATTGATCTATGACTGCTCTTGATGAAATGGTGGTATGGATATGTTTAAAAATTTATTATATTGTTTTGGACGCACGTATTCTATTGGGTTTAAAATACTTATTCCTCCAAAATTTTAACTTTTCAGGTTAGATCGATTCAACATGGATGGTGGCTGAACAGTGCACGGGTTGCCAAGTAAAACATTTTCAAGGGAACCATCAGTAATAGTTTTTCTTTTTTCGTTTAGAGATTTAATATTTCTTAGATTTCCAATGAATGCTTTAAGTTCCGTGATTTAATGTTTTTGGATTGATCTAATTTGATATTATGAAATTTTAAATTTATTAAAGTTTAAATTTTCAATTTAATATTTTCGTTTCATGTATGATTATGAAATGATATCGATAACACCTCAAAATTTAAGTTAATAAAATTTGGGGCGTTACAACTAGATGTCAATTTGGGACGATGAATGTGAATTGATGAGAAATTAAAATGGGATATTTTAATTTGTCAATTATGATTAGATTAAAATAATAATTCACGTTGTTAGGTATAGTGATCTGGAATCTAATGGCTCACACACAAAAGGAGAACTAGAATATGAGATTCACCAATTAATTAATTAACAAGTGTTCGACAATTAGTTAATTGGGTTACATGTTAATATGCCCGAATTTAATTAATTTGATTATTTAATTCATCGATCAAATTTAATTAATTGGATTAAATAAAAATTGAATCGAGTTAAATTTAAAAGACAAGCCAACCCACTTGAACTTATATGAATAAGCTATTAGGGTTTCGGAAAAAATAGAATGGAACACAATTCATTATTCTTGTTAGTACAAGAAAAGAGAAACTTTAATTCTCTCGTTCTTGTTCCATATGTAGATTTCCATTGGAAACTGCATAAATGTGGATTGCATATCGTGATTATTCGTATTCAAGACAAGCAAAATAGTTTGGAGACTCAATAAAGGTATAATTCATATCACAGTTTCTATTTAAACACAAAGCAGATCATTGGTAGGAATTGAAATTATTTTATTTTCCACTGTACATGATTAAGTAATTCCCAACAGTATATTCAGTCATATTATTATATCTTTTGTTATTCGTTTTTTATCTTCGTCAGGTCCAATCTTCAAATTCTTAATCTATATATAAGAAATCCGAAAATTGCAAAAATAAAAAATTACAAAATCTTTCTTCCCGATTTTGGACTTAAAATCTTGAATCTAATTGAAACGAAAAGTTGAATCAAAATGAGGAACTCGTAATCCACATATCTTATTACAGACTTAGAAATAATAAATTCTAACTGAGTTATTAATTTTCGACGTATATATCTCAAGCTAGCCAAATCAGAGGCAGCTTGATCTGTAGAATAATACTAGGAACTGCAAATACATTCTTAATTTGTTGAAATTTCACACTCCAATGAACATTAGTGCTCCGATAATAAGAATTTGAAAGAATTCACTATCTGTGACAAATCCTCAAAGTGTGAGTCCGGTACCGTTTTCGCTTCTTTTTTCTCGATATTAATGTTCAATGTATTCAATCATCGCCACTAAATATACTGTAAATATTATACTTACGTAGAGAATGACTATTATATTAAATGGTTGGTGAGTGACATATTTCTCTTCCACATGCATCTTGGAAGTTAGTTGAGCTTTCGCTAATCAAGATTCTTGCAATTTAAATATTTTCTGGGATAATTGAGTATTGCAGAAAAGATATAGCTATTAATCGACATGAAGAAAAGGCCAAATAATGCCTGGATTCAGTTTCTTAAAATCTTTATACTATTATTTCAAAATCAAAGCGTTAATATAATAAAGAAAAAAAAAGTATTGCAACACCCCAAAAAAAAAAAATGTGAAAGAAAAAATAAATTAATGCCGTAGTGGCGTTTCGACAATAGTTTCGAGTGCAGGCTTCCACGATCTTTGTCTTGAATACCTCTCAGATGGTTGTGGATCACTTGTTGAAGAAACCTCCATTACTGCCTTGGCTTCTGAATTGGGAAATAGACAAAAATGATCACCAAGAACTGGAAAAATCTTGGAAAAATTCAAACTTCCTTGTTTAAGTCCTTTGGATGCCTTGTCATTGAGCCAATTCATCTCCTCATTTGTTAACACTGAGTAGAGCATTTCCATAGGAAGAAGAAAATAAAATTTTCCACGTTCGAGTATTTCATCCGCGGAAACTCCAGGAATTCGTTGGCCAATTTGTAGGTGACATGAATGACATAGAAACTGTCCAGGATTTTCTAACAAGAGTTCTGCTGCTTTCACTGTCCTTGTGTAGATCATCAGCCTCCCATCAGTGGACAAAACTTTCACTACACCACTAGATATCATTAAAGGAGCACATAGTGCTGCATTACCCATGTGTGTGTGTGTGTGTGTGATTGAGAGAGAGAGAGTTTTGTTGGTTGTGGAAGAAAGGGAGGTATGATATCGGAATGGATGGTACTTATAAAGGTTTGATGCCTTTCTGAGTTTCGTTTGACGGCTCTATATTAAAACTAGCAGAGCCAGATGTGTCACGAGTGCATAAAAGTAGCTCGAAATGGGGTGCAAAACTATGATATATTTGTAAAGGGGTAATTCTTACATTGGTTAAATACCAAAATACAGATCAATTTATTAAGAGTTTGAGCTCCTTCTTTTAACAATGTTGACATATTTAGATGAAACCCCGTGTCTTAATACGAAGTCATAGTCATTAAGCTCCAACAAGAAATTCAATCAGATTAAAACATGAAACGTGAAATTCTGTATTGATCTACTCAAAAGAGACATCATCTTGTGTGGTCATGTTTCTAGGTTAGTTAATACCAATATATAGGGATTTGTGATAATTCTCTTAACATATACTTTTTAAGATGAAATTTCAAGTCTTAATACAATTTAAGAAGTAAATAATACTCAATTAACAAGGATATCTTGCAATTATATGAGATAAAAAATAGTTTGTGCTTGCAACATGGTAGTTAAGAAGAGGGTGAAAGGTTGGTTACCTATTTCCATCAAGTATATTTTGATGATCATTTTAGCAAAAAAAAGTTTAGATGAAGTTATCATGAGATGCAAGAATATAAAAGGACAACATAGGCACCAAAGGTCTAATAGTGTGGTTTAATATGATATCAGAACAGTAAAGATATTGGATTGAAGTCAATCCGCCACCCAGCTTGTTCTAGATTTTGTGGAAAAAATGAGTCTCATATTCACGTTAAGGGACCAATTAAAGACAAGATTAAATCAAGTCACATTTTTTGGAGGAGAAAATGGTCCACAAAATATTTGATGATGTGAGAATTGGTTGGCAAAATGGCAGTCTGGATACAAGGGGAATAAGTTATTAAGAAAAGGGATTTGGCAATGATAGTTGTGTACACTCAAATCAATTTTCTTGGATTAATCTTGTTTGTTTATTTGAGTCTTACACATGGTAGGCATGGAGCAAGATGCAGACTTCACATAAAGACACCGCCAAACCAATTATAGGACCAATTTGTTGTTCATTATTCAATTTGGCCACTCACCAAACTGCTGACCCCCAATCTGCTACACAAACACAGCTAGAGTTCATTTAGATTGAGGGATGATGAAAAGAGAAACTCAATGTGTATCTCTACTATGTATTTGCAATATGACATGTCAATCTTCTGCTAATTCTAGTTGTGTATCAAGGTTAGGCATAAATAAATACTAGATCGTGCGCGGTGCTTTGATTAACGAACAAATAAAAACACACGGGAGGACAAGGCTTGAATTCCCCGATCCTCACAAGTCTCTTTATCTTTTTTCATTGTATCACGAATATGGAACTTCTCATATTTCATTGTTAATATATCAAACAATTATTTATTTTTGAGAACTCCATTGGACTCAGAAATAATACATTGGAAGAATCCGTTAGGTCTTCCAATGTCAATATTGATTGTTTTTCTCCTGCATCTTTCAAGAAGGAAAAAATATCTCTAAGAGTAAACTAAAAAGCATAGCAAACCTGAATCTAACTATGGTTCAAAATTGGATAAAAAAAAAGTAGAATTTTAGCAGTAAAATATCTAATGAAATCATCGCTAGAATTGAGATCTTACGAGCATATCAATTGTTTACTCATTATTTGATATGTCAAGTAAGGCAAACGACAAAATCGAACAATATTTAGAAAAATACAATTATTCATCAAACGGTTCAAAGATGCTGACACATTCTAGATAGCTTTCAATTATCCACCACAAGAGTCTTGTACAATGATTAGCTGGAATTGAACTTTGGAGTTTGAGCATAAAAGTAAAAATTATCCCAAATTATATTAATCCTTGATTGGCGCAACTTTTTTCATTATTTTATTATAATCGAGTTGTGTCATGCATTGTGATGAGTATCAATACTCATTTCCTGTACATTCTTGTGGGTTGATTAAGTCACAATACGAAAACAAAATCCCGCCTCTTATTGGTGGTTGAAAAGACTTCAAAAAATAATTGAGTTACTCATTTATTAGTTAAGTAGAAACAAATAGAAAATATTATGAGCTAAGAGCTTGTTTGGGAATGATTAAAATTCAATTGAAATTGAAAATATAGTCGTTATTGGGTCTCACTCGTCTAATAAAAGTCAATGCCAAATGCTATATTTTCAATTTTAATCTGATTTTAATCCCTCCCAAACAAGCTCTAATTAAATTTTTAAAAAGTCAAGAAACTAAGTTTGGTGGTTGGGAGATTCACGGTGCAAATTCATTGTTAGATAGGGAAGAAAGATAAGGGTTCCAACTTGTAGTTGATTGATTGATGAACAAGTTGGATGGATCTATTTGACACTTCTAGATTTAACGGCAACATCTTACTAAAAGATAAAAAAAAAAAAATCATTTTTGAATCGAATCTTGACAATAACTCCATTCCTTTAAACTCTTAGCAAATTTTTTTGCATAATAAGGATGGATACGTCCGATTAGGTCCAAATTGAATTCGACAAAACTGAACACCAATGTGCACAAACTAAAATTAACTGGTTCTAGTTCGATTTAGTCCAGTTCATTGCGTGCTTTAGAGAAAAATTATAAATTGTAAACTATCATATAAGTTATCTAGTTTCATTTCATGTGGTAGAAGTAATGATTATTATGAATCCGTATCAATTCATGTAAAATAGAAAATTGAACCAAAACCTTTTGATTCTCGATTCTAAAATTCAAATTAAAATTTTTTTTACTAAAATCAATTCAATCTTTTGGTTCAATTTCAACTCGACTCGAGTAGAGGTCGTCTTTATAATAAGATTCTTAACAATAATTATAAACTCCTAGAAGTACAAAAAAAAAAGTCTATAGAATTGCCACAAATTGTACTAGTTGTATGCCAATAAATAGCTAGGTTTGGTAGGTGTATCAATTTGGTTCAAATCTTCTTGTGTATAATGTCTTTCTCGTGGACTTGTACCCTTCAAAAATAAGAATTAAGCTAGTTATACATTCAGTGTACAATTAATTTGACACCCTTTGAGGTGTCAAAATTGAGGCCATTAATTTGAGTAAATATTATTAAAATCAATGATAAAATTATTTGACATTTCAAGAGTGTAAACAAAGTTATCAATCATGATGTAAGCATATAAAACTACAAAAATAATTGCTTTCCTAATCTAAATCATGATCACAAGTCGTATCAAACTATGACATCATCAACCATATCCATGTGAAAAACCACAAGTTATAGTTGTCATTATAATTTGAAGCAATCTTAAGAGCTTGTTTGGGAGAGATTTTTGGGGAAAGAATTGATTTTGAATAGTGATAGATGGGAAATGTGTGGTTGAAAAAAAGAAGAAAAAATTATTGATGTGATAGAAAATATTATTTTATTGAAAAATGTGTGGTTGAAAATGAGAATTGATTTACTGTAAAAAAATTTAATCCCTCCCAAACAGGGCCTAAGCCTCTGTTTCAGCTTTGTTAAAAATAGATTTTGAGAAAATATATATTTTGAAATAGTGATTTTTTGGAGAATGTGTTGCTAAAAAATAAAGCAAAATTTTAAATTTATGCATAATATTATTTTATTAAAAAATGTGCAATTTAAAATAGGAAAGAAAAAAATGTAAAATGGAGCTCAAACAAGGGGTCTTCTTTGAAACTTTTTCAAAAATTATTTTCAATTGCTTTTTTTCATGATATTCACTACTTTCACTTCTCAATCACATATTTTATCAATTTTTTTATTACGATTTATTAAAAATGTAATTTTTAATTAAACCAAACAGAGACTAAACCAACTTTCAGCCCTTGTTTTATGGTCATTTGTTCTAAACAATGTTTTGAATAGTGAAATTTTGGAGAATGTGTGGTTAAAAAGTAGGAAAAAGTTTGTTTGTTTACGTACAGAATATTTTATTGTGTAAATATGTAATTGAAAATGAATATGTAAAATAAAAAATATTTTATTGTGTAAATTATCATCAGACATGGACTTATATGCGTAATGAATGATTGGTTTAGTGCTTGCATTGAGTAAATATTCTTTTCGAATAAAATTATTTGCTATTATATACCAGCTAATTAGCAAGAAACATAAAAGAATTTATAAATGAAATCGCTAAATCAACGAGAGTTCATATATTTTAGGATTTCATGACCGGAGTAACACTGTCACGCAAAAACCATATTAAGGGGTTGTTTTAACAAATTCTTTTATAAGAATTTTAGTAGATTTGTATAAAAACAAATAAAATGTATGATTATAGAAGTTGATCAAAGTTGTGAATTTAATAAAATGTGTGATTAAATTAATAATTGACTTTAACCTCAACTTTTTAATCTATTCAAAACGAGGAGTAAATTTGAGGAATAAATATAGTAGAAATTATATGGAGGCAGGTTTTTTAAGTTTCAATTTCAAATATCAATTTTAATGTTTGTTTATAGAAAAACTAGATGATAATTCCATGTTTTAATATTAAAAACAATATTATAAAATTAAATTAATATATATACCCACTCACCCTACCTCCATCAATCCCATCAAATTTCATTTTCAAACCCTAAATATTTCCTGATTCTTCTCTCTCATCCTTTCTCTCTATGTGCCACTCTCACTCTCCCGACTTTACAACAACAGCAATCTCTCCCAAGTTTACAGCAGCAACACTCCACGACTAGTGTCGCTTCTTGGCGTTGCGTGAGCAGTGCTGGTGTAGTTGCACGTCGTACTGTTGTTCGATGCAGTGTCGATACTATTGCTGAAGCTGCCTTTCGCATAGCACCCGATGGTGTGCATGAGAGAAATTAGATTTGGGTGTTGTTATTGGTTGTTGTGTTGGCGGTGGTGGTGCAGGTGGACCTG